TAAAATTGGATTCCTAGATAAAGAGTGGTCTTTGTTCCTCAAGCCAATCAAGATAAAAGAGGAAATCCTTTGAATTGGAAATGATGGTGTGCAAGTTAGATAGCCTTTTACTCCAGTTTTTTAGACCTCTTCAAAGGTTTTTAAGCTTATGATTGAGAGAGACCGCAGGATTACTGGAACTTGAATCAGATCCCCAGAAATGTTGCACTACATCATAGAAACCAGGGACATCTACCTAGAAATTTTCAAATCTGAAAAGGGGTGATTTGGGAGTTGATGTAGCAATACTGACAACACAAGGTGCATGGTCGGAGATACTCTTTGGAAGGGCCGTTAACTCCGTATGAGGATATTTCAGGATCCATGAGGGTGAGATAAAAACCAAGTCAGGCTGTTGCAAAAGGGGATGATTTTGCATGTTACTCCAAGTGAATGCCCTGCCTTTTAGAGGTAATTCAACCAGTCCAGCTGAGCTAATGGCTTCATTAAAAATCAAAATGTCATTCATATCTCCACCTGGCAGATTTCTATTTTCAGTTGATCTGATAAAGTTAAAATCACCCATAACAATCCAATTTTCATCATCCCCAATGTCTAGGTCATGTAACCAGTTAACAAATTCAGTTCTCAACTCTCCTTGACAAGGGCCATAAATATTAATCAATTTCCATGAATCGTCAGGGGAACTTTGAGAGATAAAGTCAACCCTAATTCCATAAGGCATAGTGAAAACAACATTTCCTTGGTAAGAAGAACTATTCCAAATAACAATGAGACCTCCAGAAGCCCCAACCGATGGTTGATACACAAATTTATCCAGTCTCCTTGGACAGAATTTTCTGAGGTACGAGTGATCAAAAAGTTCCCTCTTTGTTTCTTGCAGACAAACAATATCGCAATTGATGCTAGAGATTGTATCATGAATAGAGCGCCACTTGTCATCTGAGTTAATACCCCGAACATTCCAGCACAAAATATTACAAGATTTACAATTCATGGAAACACAGAAAGGAACAGACTAGTCCACTGAAACGTAGTTTCATCAAGATGTTATCAAACTGGCAAAAGTACTGAGTATTAAGTACAAATTTAGAGTGATTCACTTGGTTCAGTAAAATATAGATAGGGAGTCCAACAAAAGTAGCAACCAACAAAACACATCTGCTGTTCTGAACAAGACTGAAAGAGATAGCCCATAAACAAACAGGGGCAAAGAGGTTACGCAGAGCCTCATGAAACATACGAGAATTAAGCATCATCACTAGCTTGGGCCATCAGCTTGTCTTTGGTAACTTCCTCAGGAAGCATACCACACCTTTGCACTGCAACCGTCTGGATATGTTCAACAGAAAGTGGAGGTGGAATTTCCTTCCCAAAGCTTTCCTTCACAATGCCTTCAACAGCAATCTTCAAAGAAGCAGAGATAGGTTGGGCTTTAGACTTCTTTTTTGGAGTACCAATGTTCAGTGCAGTCCGGTAACCATGGCCCAGGAATTGTGGGCTTCTTCTCAGATTTTTCAGTTGAAATGGGGGCTTTAGCACGAGGCCTTTTTCGTTTTGATTTTCCAGTTGCCTCCAAACCAGAGTCCTGCGAGGGTTCAAGCTGCCCTGAAGAACCCAGGCTAAAAGGTAAAGCCTTGACCACCTTCCTGCTAGGAGCAGAGAAATGCAAATTTATCGGTGGGCTATCGAGGATGCTGTCAGACTGAGGAAAGCTATCAGACTAGGCCGGGGATTGAAAATCCCAAGGGGCCAGGGGTAGAAAGAGTGAACCCCATGTGATAAACTCCTCTGGATTGATTAGTATAGAAGGAGAGCTCCATGTAAGAAGAGGAGTGATGACATTGTTCACTATCCAGATACAGACTTCAACTGGTAAAACTCTAAAAGGCATGAGCGGGTGTGGCAGGCCAAAGGGGACTATCTGCAGATGTTTGACAAATTACTGATGAATGGAATCAATCTCCTGAATAGAGCCTGAATCATCCTGAGAAAAATCAGCAATGGACATAGAATCCTATTGCATTTCATCCTGAGGAGGAGCGACATTGTTATCGTCTTGGTGCTCAACCAAATTCTGAATTTGATTGAGCAAATCCTCATTACCCTGCTGTAAGTCCTGAATTTCCATGTTAAGATCCTGGATTTGATGCCAGAGAGGTGGCAGGTCTTCATCCATTGCAAAAACATCAGTGAATTCTCCATTCAAAACAAAAGTGTAGAGCATCCAAGATTCCCCATTTCCCCCCATATTGGCGGGATTCTACATGACTATGCGTCGCGGAACAGCCTCTGGTTCAGTGTACATGCATTTAACAAGAACTCTCCCAAGAACCCTATCCTCGTTATGCCAGCGAATCACTTTACCAAAAGTGTTAACAACTTGCTTAATGTGGAACTCATTTCTGTAATCCGGAGGAATACCCAGAATAAGAACCCAACCAGATCTGTTAAAAGGGCAATTCCTCCAATTGGCAAGAGTACCAGGACGCACAAATTAACTTAGCTTGAAAAACCCCATTATCTAGATTAAGGTGCCCACTAGCTACAAGAATATCTCTATGGAGTTCCGAAGCAACTTGGATGAGACACAAAGCAAGTGGAAACCTAACTGCCCTGAAGACGTGCATGTGATGATGATTGTTGATGAAGTGGATCACTTGATGAATCAGGTTGGGGAACGCTTCTGGAGGCGGCTACGGCTCAACTTGAACAGCCACAAAATCTTCATGAACTCTGGCAGCGGGGGCTTGAACCGTGAACTCAGAGTGAGCCACACGGACAAGAGGTTCCTCAATCTCGAAGCCAGGAGGAACAAAAAACTCAGGAGTGAAGAGGGCTACCGGAAAGTTCGCCATCGGTGAAACAGTGATCAGAGAGAGAGAGAGAGAGAGAGAGAGAGAGAGAGAGGAGAGGTGGAAGGAAGCTGAAGGGGTGCTTGGGAGGAAGGGGAGGTGGTAGTGGCGATAATCCCGTTTTCAGAAATGGAAACAGGATCAGTCAAGTGATTAGCGGGGGATAGAATAACGGCGAGATTTTTGATAACCCATCGTTTCTTTGGGCCGCGATGAAGACAAGAAGAGGCCAAATGCCCATAGGCCCAATAAGAGACACATCTAGCAGATTTGCTAAGGCGGCCCAAGTGAGAGCGCAGCCCAGCAGAATTTAAATTTCGAGCAGCGGGCATCAAGCAAGGAGCAATAAGCGGACAAGAGATAGATCCCACAAAAAATGCTCCAGAATTTACCTCGGATGAATGACCATTATGAATTTGCAATGAATGAGAATTCAAACCTTGAGAGTCCAGCAATGGCGAAGAGCTGAGGAAGAAGAAAGGTTCTTCCTGGTAGGGAAACATAACCTCTTGAAAACTAAACGCCGAGGAACAAACTTTCCTTTATTGAGGATCTTGGGAGACTGAGAAAACTTGGTCTTTTTGCTGGAAATTACAGTCCATTGAGATGCTTCTTCCTTTTCCCAAGAAAGAAATTCCAGCTTCCAACTTGGACCCCCATCACGCCATAAGAAGAAACGACAGTGAAAGTCCTCGCAAATGAAGTTCTTGAGAGAGACCACAAATAAACCCACTGATTTGGAGCACACCTGAAAACTATAGCTCACAGTAACAAGACTATGGTCTTATTTGGAGAGCTTTTAACTCCTGTAACTTCTTTCGGATTTTCAATTTCCCCAAACAGTCAAGATTCTTACTTAGATTATGAGAAATTGTAGTTATAAAATTCAGAAAATAAATTAAAAATCATAAACTGAAAAAGCCAACTTTTCTAGATTCTCAAAAACTAGCTACTAAATAGTTGCTTCTCAAAATATTAAACTCTCCTAAACAAGGCCTATAGCGTATACCTGATAGCAAATTGAGGAGGCACAAATTTGTGTTGTGTGCCAAGTGCCAACGGTTGTATATGCACTTTAGGCATTCGTGGTTTGGATGTAAACTCCAAGTTGCATATAGTTTTTTAAGATGATTTTAGCACTTAAAGTTTATCCATAAATAAAATTTAGGATACTTATAAAATTTATATCTATAAATATAAGAATTCATGTAGTGTTATTTGTCCCACCCATCACTGCACACCTCATTCAATTTTCTTTCCATCTCCGTCATTGCACCTCTCATTTAACAAGGGATATAATAGTTCTTTTTTTCTCCATGTTCTTAATCTCTCTAAAAAAACCAAGCCCCCATATTCATAGATACGTCTGATGAAATGTTGGATAACTTCTCCATTGTGTTCTTTTCAATGAGTTGGGAACTTATCTCCCGCTCACGTAAAACGAAACGACTTCTCAACACATGATTAATTAAGTATTAATTAATTTTCTTTTGAAAAATATATTAATTTGATTTTTAAAACAACTTTCCTATAGAACTTCTTTTTGCAAAAAGACACACCGTTTAATAATTTGAGAAGTGCGCGCGCAAAAAATGAAGTTGAGAATATCGAGCAAAGAACACAACCTTAAAGTCTAAGTTCGGTTAATCCCTCCCTAAAAGTATTAAAGAGGAAATAATTCAATCCCTCCTATACCTTTTTCTATTGGAACACGTTTTTCATGAGTGATTAAAAATTCTGTAGGAAAAGAAATATACAGCTACTATTACTACCAAAACATTGATGAATGGGAACAGCCAAAATATCTACAGCAATAAAACATAATAACTCCCCTAATTAAAAGTACAACAAATTGAAGGCATTTTGGCATCATACATAATAAATAATTCCACCCCACCCCCCAATGGCCCCACATGCAGTGAAACCCAAGGCCAGCAATTGCTATGACAAGTGTACTAGCACTAGTGGCAACAAACAGCACACAGCCTCAGAAAATCCAAAAATAAAATAAAATAAAATCCATCTCCTACTGCCTGCCAGGTGGGCCCCATCCCCACCCCCACCCCCACCGCCGGCCACCCTCTCCCTTCCACGCCACTCCACCCCCTCCCCCCTATATAAATTACCCTATATATATAAAACCCCTTCGCCCTCGCTTCGCTTCCACTCCACCTCTCTCTCGATTCACCACGGCGGCGACGGCAATGGCGGCGGTGGAGCAGGATCAGGAGGAGGAGGTGATCATCGTCGGGGCGGGGCCGTCGGGGCTCGCGGCGGCGGCGTGCCTGTCGGTGCGCGGCGTGACGGGCTGCCTCGTCCTGGAGCGCGACGACTGCGTGGCGTCGCTGTGGCGCCACCGCACCTACGACCGCGTCCGCCTCCACCTCGCCAAGCGCTACTGCGCGCTCCCGCACGCGCCGCACGGCGAGGCGTCGCCGACCTACCTCCCCCGCGACGACTTCCTCCGCTACCTCGACGCCTACGCCTCCCGCTTCGGCGTCCGCGCCCGCCTCCGCCGCGAGGTCCGCTCGGCGCGCTACGACGCCGCCCGCGCCCGGTGGCTCGTCGACGCCGTCGACCTCGCCACGGGACGCGCGGAGCGGTACGCGGCGAGGCACCTGGTCGCCGCCGCGGGCGAGAACGACGAGAGGGTGGTGCCCGAGGTGCCCGGGATGGAGACGTTCCCCGGGAAGGTGGTGCACGCCGCCGACTACCGGAGCGCGGAGGGGTTCAAGGGGAAGTCCGTGCTCGTCGTCGGCGGCGGCAACTCCGGCATGGAGATCGCCTACGACCTCGCCGTCGGCGGCGCCGCCACCTCCATCGTCATCCGCAGCGAGGTCAGCTAGCTTGCTTAGCTCTTGTCTCCTATACTAGCTTAATTATAATTAATTCGTTTCAATCGTTTCCAAATTAAATTCGATTTGCCATTAAAACGAGCGAATTTCAAGCTCTGTTTATTTGTCCCTCGTTTAATTTGCTTATAATTAATTATTTTTGATTTACCAATTAATTAATCGAATTTGTACCTTAAAAAAATTATACGACCGAATCGAATATTTGGTACTAGTATAATTGTTATTTGACCAAATTTGGTAGGGCCGGGCCAATTAATAACATCCTAGCCACCTTAAAAGAGCTAGATTTGCCAATAATTTTCGTAACATTCTTATTATTTGCTAGTATACCAACCCCTGGCCCCACACGCTAGTGAGAATGAGAAAAGCTATTTTTTTTTTGTATTTTCTTTGGTACCAATTAATCCATGGCCCCACATGCCAGTGAGTGAGAGTACCCGTGCTTGATCAGTTGATCGGTGAGGAAGTACCTTGAATTAATTTACGACCATCGGATCGCCTAACGGACGGCTAGGATCGAGTAATCAAGCTGAGTAATTAATTAACCATAATTAGTTACTGACAGAGATCTTAAAGAGGGATTAATTAGCAGTGGACGCGGCGGGCTCCTGACCGTGATTAAGCTCTGTAATTAATTAAAACCATCCACGTTTTCTTCCTTTCCAATGGATCGATCAGTACATGTGGTTATTAATCACCAGGGTTAATTACTTCATTACTCCCTAGTGTTGCTGGTACTACGTAGTAGTAGCGATTAATTAAGACATGACGACGCAACAGTCCAAATTCTTTCAGTGTGGTCCTAAGCTACCATCAGTACTGATGAAACATGACAAATAGAGAAACTCCAACTAACTTTGAAATGAAACAAAAAAACACACGTACGGAGATCGAAATTGATCCCCAAACACCAACATTACAGGTTTACATTAATGGTCTATATGAAAAAAAATTAAAAAAGAGACAGAGTATAATATGCCAATAAATTCGGTGAATAGAAGGTGTGACCACAAATAAGACGACGTATATTTAATTAGGACATGGGACGTATTTAGAACAGAAATAACCACACAATCTATTCAATGGTAAAATGTGTACCCACGCCGCTATATATATAAGGTTAATTAGTCCTTAATTTAGTCTCTTTAGACTGTGCTAGCTAGAATATAATCATGTACAGGTGTTTGTAGGCGTGAGTAATTAAGTGTGTGCATCCTGACGTGTATTTTGGGCAACCAACATGAAAGCTGTTTTTTTTTTTAAAACTTGGGCTCTTTAATTCCAGAGGACTCGAAAGTGGAAATAAATTAAACAATTAAACCAACAACCTGGCAGAGAATTTCGTTGCTGTATGATTAATTACAGTAGTGTGCATGCTTATTGCAAATTTTATTAGACCCAACCATATAAAATGGTATCCGAGAGCTATATCGTGGGCGGCGCCATGTAAAAGTATAAATAACTTGACTATATATATATATATATATATATATATATATATATATATATATATATATATATATATATATATTCATCGTCGCTGGCACATGGCCTGGTCTCTCTCGAACTCTGACATCACGTGCAGGCAAATTAAACACATCATCGATCGATCAGACTACACAATGATTTTGCTCCTAATTAATCTCAGCCGGAGACCGCAGCTGATTAAATGCGTAATGTAATTCAGGTCAGGTTGCATGCATGCAGCATAGGATCCGATGATTATTTTGCTTAAAAACATCATTAACTCGATTGTTATCAATCACATCACAAGCATATATATGTGGCTCGATCCAGTATACGTACGTTCATCTCTCTGTATGTATGTCGTACGTATATACTGTACCGTACGTGCGTCATCGTCATCAGGAGGGAAAAAAACACGTTACACGTGCACGCCTTTGTCTGATTTTCGCATGGCGACGCCAGATCCACGCAGGCATATCATAGTCCGTCCAGCGTCCCTCCGGACGGCCTGGGATCCTGTCCTCTAGTATTTTCTTGTTCCAATTATTAGGGGAGCCCTCTATTTGCGGCTCTATTTGATTCGGGCTAAATATAACTATACGTAGACAGAAAGTTATTCCTCCCTCCATTCTAAAATATAAGATATAACTACCATTAACCCAAAAACTAAGAAATAATTATTATCGCATCGTAGTTTAGATTACCCTAATAAATAGAATACATGCACCCAATAAAATTAGAGATCTTGTTGATGGAGGATTTAAATAATATTATTATAATAAAAAAAGATGGGCTAGTTAATGACATACATGCATATACGCCTTATATTATGAAATAACTTGAAACAACTTTAAAAATTAGTTACGCCTTATATTATGGAATGGAGGGAGTATATCTCTACTTATTTAAATGTAGTGTGGTTATCCTTCTTTTTTTTTTCCTTCTTACCGTGTGCCAAAAGTCGTACGGTCCTTCGTGTGTGCGTAATTACCGTAGGATCTAGTTTCAGAGATGTCAGTAATAATATCATTAATTAATTAAAATTTTTAATGTAACTAGTCTTTGATTAATCACTATACATCTGTTGGTTTAGACATCAACACAACGTTCTATAATATCCATGGAACTAGCATATTGACCGTGCGTTGTAACGTGATTTTAATCAAATAAAAAATTATCACTAAGATGTTATTATCATCTCTTAATTGATGTATATATATTTGTTACTGACATATGAATCCTTTAGTACTACACTATTACTTTTCCTTCTTATAAAAAACATATAGTTGGTGGGAGTGGTTGACATATAGGTCCTCTAGACCCACATGCCATTTTTGCTAAAAAGAAAAGTTAGGAGTTGGTGGGGGGTCGGTGGCGGAACAAGAACCACCACTACTCGAGTATAGATAAACTTTTTTTTAAAAAATAAAAATATAATTATATGAAAGAGCTTTTTATGAAAAATCTATTAATATAAAATTTCATTTTGATTTTTTAAAATATTTTAATATTTAGTAATGATTTAAGATTTCGAGATTTTTTCTACACGCATAACTGTAGTACGTCGTCCTTACTCCTTAGCGAGGTAATCTCAGTGACCATTCTGGTTAATCATGCAATCTAAATTGCAACCAATTAATTAATCGATCGCAGCTGCACCTGGTGAGCAAGGAGATATGGAACTTGGCGATGACGCTGTACAGGTACCTGCCGGTGTGGGTGATCGACAAGGTGGTGCTGCTCATGTGCGCCGCCGTGTTCGGCGACACCGCCCGCTACGGCCTCCGGCGGCCGGCCGTCGGGCCCTTCACCATGAAGGCCACCACCACGATGTACCCGGTCGTGGACGTCGGCACCTTCGCCAAGATCAGGTCCGGCGAGATCCGCGTCCTCCCGGCCGCCATCAAGGGCGTCCGCGGCCGCGACGTCGAGTTCGCCGACGGCCAGCGCCACGCCTTCGACGCCGTCGTCTTCGCCACCGGCTACCGGAGCACCACCAAGCACTGGCTCAAGGTAATTGTAATTAATTAATAAGTTAATTAATTGAACAGTACTGTGTTAATTGTTTGCATCATGATTCGTACGTGCGGCGACACAATTAATTATTGCTGCTCCCGGCCGTATGCATATTCCTATTTGGAAAAGTCTGAGGCTTTGGCATGAAGCAAAGCTCGACAAGGTCTCAACTTTCAGCAGCATACACCTCATGCTGAACGTACATACTGATCCGTCTCGTAATATAAAGTATTTTTTGATGGATGTGACACATCCTAATATAATATTTGTCCAGATTAATTAAATCAGGATGTGTTACATCTATCCAAAATCCCTTATATTATGAGACGAGGTAGTACATGTTTTTCGAATAATATATCAGCGATAGCTAGTGTGGCTTATGACAACATTTTTTTTTCAATCCGAAACACACAAAAGCTTTACATGTTATTTAACCATCAACAATAAAAGCTCTAATATTTTTGTTTTTTTAAAAAACAGAATGGCACATTAAAAATCATGTTTTAATTAACCTTATTGTACGATCTTAACTATGCCATATGCTAGATAGTACCTTATTTATATATTTTACATATGTTTTCTAACATTTGTGTGTAATTAAATTTAATTTTATAGAGTGATGACGGGCTGATCGGCGACGACGGGATGGCGGGGCGGAGCTACCCGGATCACTGGAAGGGGGAGAACGGGCTGTACTGCGCCGGGATGGTGAGGAGGGGAATCTACGGCAGCTACGAGGACGCGGAGCACATCGCCGACGACATCAGCAAGCAACTCCGGAGCAGCAGCAAGCCTACCCACAACAATGGCTCGGCCTAGAAAGAAATTAAATCAAGCTGATGAGGCTCTCCCCCTTGGACCTTGTCTTGGTTATTATATTAGGTGTAGCTTTTATACTATGATTTTGTTTCTGAGTTTGTGGATGTGGATGAAATAAACAAAATAAAACTTGCCCTTGGGTGGTCTTTGATTAATAATAGTTATATCATGTTGGCTCACTCGATCGTGGGGTCGTCTCTAGTAATCAAGCTGTGATCTGGTCGTGCTTGGGGGTGTGGTTTTGTTTTTTTTAACCTCTTTAATTATGGGATAGACTTGTGTACTTTATTTAACAAATACTTTACAAAGTATAAGAGTACAATAACAATAGTTATGTCTTTTCTTTTTTTAAAAAAAAAACTACACAGTGTAAAAAAAGAGACAAATTTTACTTAGGACATTCAATTTTTTTGTAATTTGTTGGTAGACATTTAAAAAGTGCCACGGCTGAAAGACATCCTAGAAAATTGATAATTTGCTAGAGAACACGTTCGGCTCAATTAGAGATAGAAGTTCTTCAAATAGACGAGAACACCCCTAGGGCATAGGCTCCAAACATGGTGTTGTAGTAAAAATTTGGAAATCATGAAACTCTAAATCTGCCATTACCCCAAGTACATCATTAGTATACATCATATTCCATCTTCAACTTATCTTCATGTCATCAGCCTTTGGCCCTTAGGGGCATTATTATATCGGATTGGCTACTCTTCTGTCGACAGATTTTGCTGGGCTCCATCTTTCGTTTTTTGGGCCGTCCATCATGTTTAAGATTCGTGCAATAATTGGGTTGTGGGATGGACTTCTCTGTTTGGGCTACCGATCTTTTTTATCTATTGGGCTGGCCTTTTTATTGATTCCTCGTGGGTCCCACAGCAACTGTTCAATTTTGAAATCCGCGCCTACTTTTTTCTTGTCTCTTCTGTGGGTCCCACATTTGCTGAATTTTCTCGTTTCTTCCGACATAGATAGATAGAGAGAGAGAGAGAGAGAGAGAGAGAGAGAGAGAGAGAGAGAACGCTTTTAGGAGAGGAGAGCAGAGAGCGGCGACGATTTCGTCGTCGTCAAGAGAAGGCCATTTCGCCGCGGCGGCGATTCTGGCGGAGCGACATGAGGGCGATTCGTTGGTGAGTAGCTCGACGTGAGGGCGATTCGTTGGTAGATTCGTCCATTCTTCTTCCATTCTCCCCTTTGAGCATCACCTGAATCTGCTCAACTGCATGCGTTGATGAGTTTTTTCGTTTTGGTTTGGGTTTGCTGTTGATGAGTTTTGAGTGGATTTTTTTGCTGTTGATGAGTGGGGTATTGTTGCTGTTTGATGTGTGGGGGATTTTCGCTGTTGATTGGGGGGGGAGAGGTGGGTGGGGGTGGGAAGGGTTGTTGCTGCTGTTGAGGTTTTGAGTGGATTTTTTTCTGTTGATGAGTGGGGCATTGTTACTGTTTGATGTGTGGGGGATTTTTGCTGTTGATTGGGGGGGAGAGGTGGGTGGGGCGGTGGGAAGGGTTGTTGCTGCTGTTGAGGTTTTGAGTGGATTTTTTTCTGTTGATGAGTGGGGGATTTTTGCTGTTGATTGGGGGGAGAGGTGGGTGGTTGTTTGCTGTTGAGGAGGAGTGGATTGTTTTTGCTTTTGATGAGGAGGGGATTTGTTCATGTTTATGAGGAGGGGATTTTTGGGATCTCGTTTTTTTGGATGACTAGTAGTATTTTGTGTGTCCTTATGTTTTTTACTTTGGAGATTGTGTTATTTGGCTTTCATCAACGATGTGATGTTGTTCATGTGCGATTAGATCATGTTGTTTAATTTTCTCATGTTGTGCAGGGTCGTGTTCTCTTAGGTGTTTGAAGCTTCGATTTGGTGGATTCAGTTAAGGTTAGTTATTTGTCTGAACTTGATGTGGTGTAGATCTGAAAATGAATGTACTAAATTATGTAGAACACTATGTGTGATCTGAAGTTGTTTTTAACTGGATTTAATAGAGTTTGATTTCTCATGTAGATCTGTTTACCAATGCCCTAGACTGATTTACTTTTGTTTTGGTTTTTTGTTTGGATGCTCAGATCTGTAGTTTTGCAGATATATAGTTTGAATCTAAGAATGATTTGTGTGATCCTAAGTGAGTGTGGTTATATGATTTGTGTTCATTGGAAGCACCATAAGACATAGCTGTACCGAATTTTTAATTCACCTTGGATGAAGTGTCTGTGTGTGCACTGATGAAAGTTCATCCTCACTTTCCTCCGTGACATCAGTTGTCACTTAAATTGATGATTTAATGTGTTTCTGTTTTGGATTGGAACCTTTTGTCATCTCAAGTGGAGCTGGCATTATATCTCTGCTGAACATGCTTAATGAAATGATGGGTTGATATGTGGTTGCACCTCTTTTTATTAGTTAACTATAAACTATAAGCTCACATTCATGCATGTACCATGATTCAGGAAATGACAAAGACAAATGATAATTAAATGAAATGATTTAATCTGTAGTAGTTTTATTTTGAAGTTAATTTAAGTTTTTTCATTACTTCAATCTGTTCTAACTGTATTTCCTCTATTCTATTTAGGTTTCATTTGTAATATTTGATCCAATAGTACTATACCTATTTCATTTCCTGTGTTTGTTGAGTCCTTACAGTGTTTATTTTGGGGGGGGGGGGGGCTGTGTGAGTGTGACAGTTTATCCAGCTATATAAGGTTCATGTAATGCATTTGGTGCTATCCTCCAGCAATGCACTTAATAACATAGTTTCATCTTTTTCAGTAACTGAAAACATTATTCTATATACAGACTTTTTTTTTGTGGATTAATGTTTGAACAATTATGTTACATAGGTTACTTTTGTCCAAGTACTTTTGCAGTCTTCTTGTTATATGTAATTTGATTACTTTAGCATTATTTAAAATATTTGCTCCTGCTTTTGTTTGCTATTCCCATTGTGTAATCACATTTCTTTTTTTTAATAGATGGTTCACACAAAGGATAGTGATGAAATTTTTGTTGATTCTACTTCTTCTGATTCTAAAAGTTCTGAAAATGATGATGTTATTTCTGATAGTGAAGTGAGTATTTCTGTCTTAATTTTTTTTCCTTTTTTTTATACAATGAAGCAAGAGACTTATATGTGTTTTTTATTGTGTTTTCTAATTACATGATTAATTTTCACTATTTTTTTAGGACTCTAAAACTAGTTGTGATGAGATATCAAAAGAGGAGCTATTGCGATCTTTGAAGCTGAAGTTGAATAAAAAGAAAGTATCTGTTGACTGCAATTTGAAGGTTACTTTTTTTTGTTATGTTCAATTTTAATTATTATTTTTACAGCTTTCTCATTTTTTGTATTCACTTGGTAAATACATTTCCAGTTTTTTTTTAAAAAAATTCCCTATTCTTGCGCAGAGAAAAAGATCTGAAACAGCAGAAGTTGATTTCAAAAATCAGTTGGATTCAGCATTACTTGAAATTTTTAGAGACAATGTTTTAATTGGTATGAAACGAAAACTCCACTGCCATAAAAGCAAGGTAAATGCAATATATCGAAGCAAGAAATTGAAGATGTGCACTGCCCGTCCATAAATTGTTCTTTTATGCAATTTTTTTTATTTTTCCAATTTTCTTTTTTTGCAGAAAAAATCTGTCATGATTGATGCAACAGAAGAAACTAAATTGACAAGATTCTCTGTGAAGTACTTTTCTGAAGTTCTGGAAAAGTTGTCTAAACGTCATAGAGATATCATTTTCAAATCTTGTTTCAAAACCCTTTTGCTGTTTGAGAAATGTTCTGTGCCATATAGACTTGCTTTATGGATTGCCCAAAAAGTTGATGTCAATTCTTGTGACATCATTGTTCAAGACAAAGTAATTCCACTTTCAAAAGAATCTGTTCATATAGTTTTAGGTCTTCCTGTTGGAGGTTTACCTATCAGTTCCAATTATGAAATTGGCAAGCAGAAAATTCTTGACACTTTTGGTCTCTCTTCTTTGCCTACTGTCAATTTTTTTGGAGATAAGCTGATAAAGAATGAATCAATGTCTGACGATCAAGTGTTGATATCCTTCATGATGGTTTCTTCGAATTGTTTTCTTTGCCCAAACTCATCCCTTCAACCTAGCACAAAATATCTCAGTGCTTTTGCGGATCTTACTTCTATTGATAAATTGGATTGGAGCAATCTTGTTTTTGAATGGTTGATGAAACATCTTAGCAAGCTTGAGAAGTCCAAAAGTTTTGGTGGTTGTCTGTACTACCTTGTGGTTAGTATTATTACTCTATCTTTTTTTCAATTGCTTTGCTTTTTTGTAACCAGTTAACTTTATATTTTTGCCTTTTCTTATTAATAGGTCAATTACTTGGATTTTCTTAACTTTGGTATGCGAAAAGTGTTGCAAGATACTCCAAGAATCAAAGTATGGAAAGGAACAATGATCAAAAAATTTTCAAAGTTTGATAAAATAAGCAAAGGAGTCTATGGCAGAAGACCGATAAAAGATTTTTCTGAGAGCTGTTACAAAATGGTAATTTTATACCTACTTTTTTAGTTCTGAACTTGCTTTCTTTTAAATTGTTTACTCTTTAGTTCTATCATTTTTTTGTAGATTGAAACTGGTACTGCCAAAGCAACTTTTCTTCAAAGGCTTGATTCTGCAATTGGTGTTGACTTACCTCAAGAAATAAAAAAAGACATAAATGAGTTGCTTCTGCACCATTTGGGTCCTGATGAAAATTGCATCGATGATAGAGTGAAGAATCTTCTGATTGATATATTTGTTCTTTTATCTAATGCTAGCAAGCCAAGTGTTCCTGATAATACTGGTTAGTGTACATTTAATCTCTTCATTACTGTCATCTTCATTAGTGTTCCTGATAATACTTGCTTATTATTGTCATCTTCAATATTTTCAAGTCTATTAAATTAATTTATTTTTTCTTACACATTTTGAAGATTTTAATCCTTCTGAAGATGACAAGAATAAGTTGAATGATGGCAGCATAATAAATGAAGCTAACATTTGTGAAACCCCAAAGGTAATTATATATTTTTTCATTTTCTATATTCTGTTTTTTCAATTTTCATCATTTAAAATTTGACCTAAAACTTTTACGTACAGATCCATTCCACTTGTGATGACAATGCAATTCTAAATGAACAGTCCCCAATGCTGTGCAAAGATACTAAAACTA